ATGGACGACTGATGGACCATTGATGGACTATTGATGGACCATTGATGGACTATTGATAGACAATTGATGGACTATTGATGGATCATTGATGGACGACTGATGGACCATTGATGGCTTCTTCCAGAACATTAGTTATTTTTAATGTGCAGTAAGACAAAGAAACATGGACTGACAGAACCAGAACCATCTGAAGTGTGTGAAGATGTTACCTCCTCCTGCATGTCGGTGCTGGAGCTGTGCAGGACAAAGGCGCTCTTTGACAGGTTCTCCTCATCCCTCCTCTTCCTCCTCCTCAGACCGAAGGAGAACGTAGCGAAACGTTTGGGTTTTCTGAGGTCCAATTCGGAGTAGCTGAACTCTTTGGCCTGAAGGAAGGAAGGAAGGAAGGAAGGAAGGAAGGAAGGAAGGAAGGAAGGAAGGAAGGAAGGAAGGAAGGAAGGAAGGAAGGATTCGTGTCATCAATGAGTGACAGTAACAGACATCAGTGAAATGAAATGCATGAGGAACTTTCTTCTTCTGCAGATAAATGTAAACCAACCAGAACCAGAGGAGGCGGAGCTAAAGCCAAACAAAGGAGCAGAGCTCTAGAACCTCATTCCAGGTGGAGGAAGCTGCTCCACCCTCAGAGGAATGATGGACTGGTTGAACATGATCTGCTGCGGTCAGAGCAGAACCAATGACAGAAGGATTCTACTTCCTCCTTTCAACCAGCTGCTGCTGGTTCTGAAGCTGCCCAGGAAGTTCTGACCCAGACGCCACTCCTTCCTACCTTCTGACCTGAAACTGCTGCAGGTCAGGAAGGAGGTTCTGAGGACCTAAAGCCACCTGATCCGGTTCAGTTCTGACTGGTTCAGATCAGGGCAGGAAAACCTAAATGAAGCTCTGCGTTCGCTGGCCTGATGCTGCTCACGGCTGCTGGTTCACCAGCGTCAGCAGCTCACTAATATTCTGCACAAAGGAGGCGGGCCTAAATGTGGCAAAAGGTCAGAGTTCATGCTGCTTCATTTGATGCTGAAACTGCAGAAAATCCAACTAAATGTTGAGGCTGCTGCTGTCTGACCCGACCCAAACCTTCTCCATCAGAACCACAGCTCCCAGCTACACCTAAAGCTAAGCTCTGTCGCCCTCTGCTGGACAAACTCTGAGCTGAAAGTAACTCAAGTCCTAAAAAAGATCTGAGACCAGCAGAAGATAAAACCTGCAACCAGCAGCAGGTAAACGGGTCTGACAGAACCTGAGCAGAACCAGAGGAGAACTCAGGATCATTGTTATTGTCCAGCCATCTCCATCCTTCATGGACCACCTGAACATGGGAGAGTTCTGCAGCCAGAACCCTGAGGGGCTCAGGATCCAAGAACCAGGACGGATCAGAACCTCCCTCTAAACTTTAGGCTCTTCTTGTTCAGAGAAGTTTGGGAAGAAAAGTCTAAATCTGCCAGAAGGTCTGAGAGCAGCTGAAGGAAAGGAAAGGATGAGAACAGGAGAACCAAACGATCACAGAGTGCTGGGCCACTTCCTTCATTAGAGTGATCTCAGGTGGAACTGCTTCCTGGAGGTAGATCCTCCATCCATGGAGGCACCAAGCAGCAGAGGAACCGTTAAGGTCAACAGGAATATTCCAGGAGTTTCTGCTCCTCCTGGTTGGAAGAAGGAAACTGCTTCCTGTTCCGACATCAAAGCAACAGATGGAATCAGCTCCACTGACCTTTCCTCTGGACGCCACAGCAAAGACAGAAGAAGACTTCTTCACAGAGACGATTCTGTGGGCCTGTCCGTCCTCTGGACCCGTCCTGCACTCCGCAGCCCTGAGGGAGACAGCATCACGTCAGATCCAACATCTGCAGGTGTTTCACCTGAGGAGCTTCTGGAAGACTGGACAGTCTGAAGCTTCTGGCCTGCTGGACCCTAAGAAGACTGGAATATAGAACTGGACCAGAACAGGACCTGACTGGGGGAGAGGGAGGGAGGGACGGACAGACGGACAGACGGACGGACGGACGGACGGACCTGTCCCTCATATTTTATTCCAGTTTGTTTTTACTGATGGTGGATTAAGTTCTGTCTTTTTCCCAAAGTATAGGATTCTTTTTTCTTGGATCTATACTAACCTAGATTAAAAGATTGAACCAGTATCGCCACGGCACAGAACCCAGACTGGAACTGGGTTTCCATGGCGACATGGCCGGCTGCTCTATGGAGCGGGTCGGAATGTTGATCCCGTTTCCTGCCGACCGCCTTCCAGGAACAGGAATGTTTATGGATCAGCAGAACAAACAGCAGCAGGTGATGAATGTTCAGGTCCGGCTGCAGCCTCCGGGTTTCCAGACTGACCCTCCCACCTCCACCTGCATCAGGTGACTTCCTGCAACAGGAAGTGGCCGTTTGCTGCGCAGGTGATGGAAAGAGGCGAAGCACAAACCGAACACAGTTCAGCCGTTTCCACACGACGGCGTGATGCTCGCTACTTCCTCCTCTGCTCTGACATCACCATCCGACCAATCACATCTAAAACGGTCAGCATAGATCTCTACGTAAACAACGAGGAACCTCCACCTTCACAGACCTAAACCAGCTCCACCTTCTCAGACCTAAACCAGCTCCACCTTCACAGACCTAAACCAGCTCCACCTTCACAGACCTAAACCAGCTCCACCTTCTCAGACCTAAACCAGCTCCACCTTCTCAGACCTAAACCAGCTCCACCTTCACAGACCTAAACCAGCTCCACCTTCACAGACCTAAACCAGCTCCACCTTCTCCGACCTCAAAC